CAACAGTTTATTCAATTTATACGAGTGTGAAATTAAATTTTTCATCGATATTCTTTAATATCGATTCACGTACGCTTGCCGCTTGACATTAACGTTTTCCACGTTGACACGAATGTCTCAAGATAAATTAAATATTACATATCTCGTATCTCTGAATCGAGAAATATATTCCTATTATCGAATATTTATGCATATGCGTCTATATAATTAAATACACTTGTAACGAGTACGCAAGTTCAATCACGTTCGATTATAATTTTCTTTTTTTTTAATTTAAATGGATCGATTCGAGCAGAAGAAATCGATTAGATTTAAAATATTTATAAATACTTTAATCACCATTTTGACACCTGTGTATGTTACCAATTTAAAATTCAATTCAATATTTGCAAATTTAATCGCAAATTCATTTTATCAAAATCATTTATATCGTTCAATATAAGATAGTTAATTTAATCTTTTTCTCATTCCCTTCCCTTCCGAACCTGTTCTTTCACTCTTAAAACTATATCTCACAAAATTGACCAATTATACTTTTCGCTCCAATTTTATCCTTTTTAGAGAACCGCTCTAATCCAAATTGAGTCCTCGTTGAGTCCTCGGCCATAAGCTTTATTGCACGAAAGAAAAAAAAAAAAAAAAGAAAAGAAAAAGAAACGCACAACAAAATACGGCAAAAAGCCGAATCGAATCAAGCAGCCATCGAAGGCTCTCGAGGGCTCTGATATCGCGCTATTGAAAGGGAGCGTTCGCATTTTTTCCCTTTGTTCTTCCTAAATAACCCTTTCGACGTAATTGCCGCCGCATGGTTTGACACGAAACGATCTAACGAAGATCCTCGGCAACGCTGTTTAAACGGGATCGAGGGCAATTATGCGCGAAAAAGAGAAAAAAAAAAAGAAGAAGAAGAAGAAGAAGAAGAAGAAGAAGAAATGGCGGAAACCTCGTTTGCTTTGGATACATTTGAGTCGGTGTCAGGAGATAGGGTCGTGGATGAACTTGACCGATCACCGAAGAGATCAGTGATGATCGAGGATCGAGCGGCCGATTGCCCTCGATCCCTCTTCTTCTCGTGTTTCTTTTCGTATCATTTTATTACCTTCTCCTCTATTTCTTCTGCCACCCATTTATCGTCCACTCTCCCCACATCCCCTTTAACCGCCTTCCATGTCGATTATATTATATTTTATCATATTTTATTCTAGAGAAAATAAAAATCTCTAGAATGTTGGTGATTAATTTTTTTTCCTTTTCTTTTTTTTTTTTTTTTTTTTTACTTAAGTTCTATAAACAGATTCAATATATATGTATATTTTACTCCATTATTAAAAGATTAATAGATCATTCAATAATTTTTGTCACGATTCATATGAAAATTATTATTACGTGTAATTATGAAAACATGGTCCGCCATATAGACACACTTCCTGGAACATTATTGCCCCTGATAAGTAACAAACGTAAGAAATATCTGCTTCCTAGAAATCTATTAGATTCTATCCGAAGATACGAAACTGGATACAATATTTCCCACAATATCTCACCGTTACTACAACCGTTCCGTATACAGCAATCACACGGAAATCGTAAACCGTAATGGATCCAAACGATCCATTGCACCCGCTCTATTGCATCGTAAAACCTTGTTTAAAATTCCGCGCGATTCCAACGCGCTCTCGATCGAAACATTTCCATCGTATGATCCTCCATCTCGGGGCAAGATTTTCTTTCAGAGGGAAGCGACGAACGGATTTATCTCGGTATCTCGATAAATTATCGATCAACAACCCGCTAACCTGCTTCTCCTCGCCATTTAATTAACGTATCCCATCCTATTCTATATATATATATATATACACACACACACACACACATATATTTCTAAGCGAATAAAAATCCCGTAATCGAAATTTCTTACATTCCCTAACTTCCTTCCTCCTAATAATTTATAGAGAAATTTATCGGCAAATTATTTTTTACAAATGAAAATAACGTAATTTATCACGTTTCAAATTCGCGTACGTGTTTATCGTGAAGCGATAATAATTTAGACGGAAGGAGGAAGGGAGGGAAGGAGGAAGGGAGGGGGGGGGATTGCGAAATTTCACGCCGCAAACATTCTTTTCTTTCTTCCTTTTCGACGACGGAGTCTCGCCGATGGAGCGGAGCGCGCGTGGGTTTCGAGCTGTTAGAAACGGGCGGAGGGAATTCGTTTGTAATTTATGAATCGACGCCTCGCGCTCTCGACTCTCGGGTCGATAATTACGCGAATCGAAATTCCTTAATAATAGAGCGCAACGATGATTTTCTTCCGCGACTCTTGCCTCCACATATTATCCGTTGATTTAATAATGTTGTCAAGCGGCGGATTGAAAGGGGGGGAAAAAGAAAAGAAGATAAGGAGGAGGAGAGGGGGAGGAGAGGAAAAAAGAAGAAACTTTACGTCTCGGAAGTCTTAGAAAGAGAGAGAGAGAGAGAGAGAGGCCGATATAATACGTATATTTAACGCCCACTTATTGAATTTTACCTCGACCGCCGATATAATATTTATAGATCTGGTCCCGCGCCTGTTGAGTGGCCACGCGCAATTAAATATATATATATGTATTTATATCTATATTCGCGATATTATAAATCGCGCGTTTAATCAATCGTAATACGGGTTTAAGCATCTAATGGGGGAGATCCGTTTACGAAATCTCGTGCACGTCCACTTTTTCCCCCTATCTCTCTCTCTCTCTCTCTTTCTCGAGGATCTAAGCGAGGAATTTTATGTGTCGCTGAACACGGGACGGGATCTCGGATAAAAATTTTCGATTTATTTAACAAATGAAGAATTGCATTGCGTTATTGGATCACTTTCTTTTTTAATTAACGTCTTGGCTCGCAATTTATTTGCAACGAGGAGGAAAGGAGAGAGAGAGAGAGAGAAGAGAATCCTTTACTTCGATTCGTGAGTTTTAAATGAATCCGCGTAACAAGGGAGGGAGGAGGAGGAAATCTAATTTTCGTAAAGTGAAAGTGTATCGTTGCGGTACTGCGTATATATAGTGTGTTCATCGGGGATAATTGATACGTCAGCTTTGAATTGATGAAGTATCATTAATGGCCGAGGCTCGAGATCGTCGATCGTGTAGAGATCGGAGTAGAAGAGAGTTGAATATTTCTAGCTGCGGCGGCTGCCTTCTTAATCCCTCTATCGTTTTCATAGGTCGCGACGTTAATTTGACTGAAATTGCCACGTGTGAGTTTCAACGGTAATGAGAGAGCGCGCGGAAGGGAGAGAGAGGGGATCGATCGAATTAATAGTTGGCTGAATCGCAACCCATGCCACGGCCAATTACACGGCCGATTCCAACGTTTTCACGTTGATCGGCCGAGCCTCGGACAACTTCGATTACACCCAACAAATGGACATACTTCATAGACGTTTATGAAATATTTATTACAACGTAATTATTATATACGGATAACGTGTATCAAGGATATTTTCCACGGCACGCGTGTCTTACAAGAGGAGGAAAGGAGGAGGGGGTATAAATTTGTCGAGATTTCCTTCGAATTTTCCCCCAATTTTTCTTCCAGATAGCCGTAGATAGCTAGAATCAGACTTGCAATTATTTGTTACGTGTTATTATCGGATAATGATAATAAACGATTTTATTAATCGATATTTCTTCTCGAAACGAATTTCCTCCTCTCGATGCACAGTGGAAGTTTTTTCTTTCATTTTTCTCAACTTCTAACTTTCTCCACTCGAATCTCGATCTCTCTTCGAAAAACTTGCACGACTTCCTCGCCGCAACGAATATTTCCCCAAGAATGCGGATGACCGGTGGCGCCTCCTAATCTTGGACATAGGTGTCCTTTCCCCGCTTTATCGAGCAATGCCACCAATATCCATTTTTTCGTCACTTTTCTCCACCACCGCCGTCCGTATTTACGAGGGCAGCGATAAACACGCTCGCGCTAAGTGACCACGGAGGAAACAACGAGTTGGCCGGAACGTGGAAAATATTTCCCTCCCACGAAAATATCTTGGACGCTCGGGTGACGCTCGAGACGTTCGACAACGGCGGAAATTTGACGCGGCTCGTAAAAGTCGTAGCCCCGAGGTATGTCGCGATCCTCCCCGATGAATCGTATCTTCCCTTTATCTTCGTTCGGTATTACAACTTGCTCAACCCTCCTCTCCCGATGAGATACTTTTCCCCGAAAAACTCGCTATTAAAGAAACGCATACCCCTCGAAAAGGAACGCCTTTCCTTCGTTTATTTTTTCTTCTCCCTTTTTCTTTTTTTTATTATTCTTCTCCTCCCCCGTTTCCTCTCTCCTCCCTCTTTTTCTTTTCTTCTTCTCGTAAACGTATTTTCATAAAGGCTTCGATAATAAAACGAGTGCGTTCGGATTTGTGCAATTTCGATTTTATCATTAGCGAGCGAGGCAAAAAGGAATAAAAATGCCTTCCTTCTTTGCCTAATTTCTTTTTCTTCTTCGTCGATTTCGATTCATCGGATGAATCGAAGACACTTTCAGCGGGAAAATCGGTCGGATTTGGAAAGTGAAAGCCGCGCGCGAATTGCTTTCAACGATTATATGCAAACGATCGTAAAAGAAAAAAAAAAAAATGTCCGTTCCGCGGAGCTTACCAGCTTGGGACGGACTTACCAGCCTGGCCACGAATCTTACGACAAAAGTATCGCCACGCCTCCGAATAATTCTCGAAATTCCTCGTTAACCTCGGTTCCGCGAAATTCCCGGAAAGGCAGGATCGAACAAAAACCGCGACCAAGGTATCTGGTCAGAATGGGGCAAGCTCAAAACCGGTGCTTACGATCCCCTCCCCCCCCTCCCCCCTCCCTTTCGGTATATTCCTTCCAGTATATTCGCGATAATAATAATAGGAGGAGGAGGAGGAGGAGCGAAAAGAAAAGCGGAAAGCCTCCCTCCTCCTTTGCCTGAGTTTCGATGTCTGAAGGGACGCGTTGGCTTGTTCACAGGTACATATACACGCACGCACGATAAGGCTGATTTCGTTCCCCGTGTCCTCGAAGGAAGAATGAAAAGAAGGAGACGAAGAAGGAGCCGGAGAAAACGAGAACTAATGAGCGGCGCGGCTGATCCCGCAGTGGCGAGGTCGCGAGGGATCGTGGCGTGAGGAGAGGAGAGGAGAGGAGAGGAGAGGAGAGGAGAGCGGAGCGAAGGTTGGGAAGAAAGCGAAGCGTTGGGGAGGGAGATAGAAAAGAGAAATTTGTCGAGGGTGGAAGGAAGAAAAAGGCGGAAAGGAAGGCGTGACGAAAGAGGAGAAAATAACGAGCAAATAAACCGGAACGGGACGGAAGAGCGAGGAGGAGGAGGAGGAGGAGGAATCGTGAGGCGGGCGCGTGTGCAACAGGCGATTTCTGACCGATTCATCTTGGCAGGTTTGCAGGTGTTCGCGTGCGTCCTTCGTGGCCTCGTTAACGCGGGCTTCCTCTTTCTCTAGCCTGGCCTCCCTAGCTCCTTTTCGATCGTTTCCTTCGACCTTGGTCCGGATGGAGGCACAGGGAATTATCCGGGGAAAATAATAGGCAACGGTTCCGAATAGAGACGAAACGGACCAATAGAGCGGTATATATATATATATATATATATACGCACGCTACGTATATACGTATACGTAGTATACATAAAAGAAAAGAAGAGCGAGGTTGTTGCGAAGGCGAGGAATAGAAGAAGAGGAAGAGACTGGAAGAAAGGAGAGAAGAGGAAAAGGAGGAGGAAAGTCGAGGGGAAGAAGAGGTGTTGGGAAGAGAAAACGTGGGGAGACGGAGAGAGAGAGAGAGAGAGAGAGAGAGAGAGAGAGAGAGAGAGAGAGAGAGAGAGAGAGANAGAGAGAGAGGAAAATCGAGCGAAAGAGGGAAAGGAGGAAGGAAGGTGGGACAGGTAGAGAGAGAGAGGAGAGGGGGGGAGCAGCGCGAAAGAAGAGAGGGAGAAGAAGAGGCGCGTGGTGGTCGTGGTGGGTGCTCGGTAGTGGACGGACGAGAGCGAGCGAGCATCCAGATCTGTCGCGTGCTGCGTCGCTCTGGGATGGGACGGAATCGGGACGACACGACCACGACCACGACGACGATCGCAACCACGACGATCGCAACCACGACGACAATAACGACGACGACGACGACGACGACGACGACGACGACGACGAGGACGACGAGGACGGGACGAGACGAGACGAGACGGGACGAAACGGGACGACGACGACGACGGATACCACTACACGTACTCCGGGATGGGATGGATGTTGCGGCCCCGTGTGAGTAGCAGCGAGTCGAGTCGATCCCTGGTGCGCGCTGGTATTGGTTTCACTCTCGGCTGCTGCCGGCCCGTGTGCTGGTGTGTCGATCTCTCTACGAGAGCGAACCGAGGAGCGTGGCCGAACCGAGCCGGAGAAGAGAACCGCGGCACTCGTTCAGTAGTTTCTCGGACGCCGCACCGGCACCATCCGACCTACCAGATAACCCCGTCGACTTACCGCCGACTACCCCCGACCGATCGACCGACCACGCAACGTCGCACACCTTCCCACCACCACCTTCGATAATATATAATATATATATATATATGTGTGTGTGTGTATATATATATATATAAAAAGAGAGAGAGAAAGAGAGAGAGAGAGAGAGAGAGAGAGAAAATAATTCGATCCGATTTTCGGTCTTCTCTCGACGGGTCACAAAGTGGAGGAGGAGAAATATCGTCGGTTGTGGAAGATCGTATCGGCCACGAGGGGGATTGGAAAAAGTAATCGCGATACGACGACGGTCGCGTGACGACGACTCTCCACCTTGGCCTTTTTATTTTTTTTTTTTTTTCCCTGCCGATATTTAACGCGTGCCTATGTACATAAATACGTACACACGTATATATATGTGTATATGTACACGTACATGTATATATATATATATATGTAACAGCGGTGTGGTGTGATTTCTTCCCCCCTTTCGAAGCTCCAGAAGAGTGTGACACGCGCGGACCTCGTTTTCTTTTTTTCCTTTCCTTTCCTTTTCTCTCTCTCGTCGTCGTGTCGCGCTCGTTCGATTGTTTATCAGCAGGCCCGGCCCCCGGTGTGGTGTGTAGCGGGGTAGAGGGAAGGATCTCGCGGTGAATAGCGGGTCTTTGCCAGGTGTTTTCTCTTCGCGCGTTTATATACGCAGTGAAACGGACCGTGTGTGTAGTACGCGTGCCTTGTGTGTACAAGCAAGTGTGCCTTCGCGAACGTAATTCACGCGCCGATTCCCCGTTCACGCGGGAAACCAAGTGGTGGAAGAAGAAAGTAATAAAGAGAGAGAGAAAAAGAAGAAGAAGAAGAGGAAGAAGAAGAGGAAGAGGAGAAAGAGTGTGTTCTCGAAATAGTGGGTGTTATCTGCCTCTTTTCTTTTTTTCTTTTTTTCCTTCTCCCAACTCGAAGGAGAGAGAGAGAGAGGATATTTCGCGCGATTACGACCCTTGCCGACTCCGGAAGGATATCGCGGAGGAGTCTCCCACGGAAGGCAGCAGGGAGAAAGAGTGAAGTGAAAGAGAAATCGTGATATAGACGAAGACAAGGAGAAAAAGGGGGAAGAGAAGGAGAAGGAGGAGGAGGAGGAGGAAGAGGAGGAGGAGGAGAAAGAGAGAGATAGAGAGAGAGAAACCCGTTAAGGCGGTACGAGTAACGTGTCGGTGGAGGTTCTTGCGATTGATAGAGGGACTGAGAAAGAAGCAAAAGGAAGAGAGAAAGGGACGGAGCGAGGTCGACGAAGGTAATCGCGGTGGCATCGAGCTGTGCGTGCCTTCGACAAAACCGATTAAGGACGATCGATCGCGGGACGAAGGATCGATCTTTCCTTTCGTCGCCAATTCCGATCGCCCCGTGGCCGTAACGACGTTTCGACGTTCCACGTTCGCGCCCGTCTCTCGATGCTGCCCCCTCGTAAACCGATCCCGTGGTTCCCCATCTTCGCGAACAAACCGTTCTGACTGCCGCCGCTCACCTCGCGCAACGGAAACCCACGCGGCGAGGACGCGTACAATTAGGCGTTGATCACCCCGCGCAATAATGCGAGACTCGAGCGGAAAACGCGGTGCATGGACGATAAAGGCGGGCCGGCCGGTGCATCCTCCTCGCTGCTGCGCATCCGTCCACGGAATCTCGTTCAAGGCGAAAGTGGAAATCGAGGATGAGGTGGACTTGTTTTATCCAGCCAGCGAATAATAATAATAATAATAATAATAATCATAATAATAATAATAATAATAATAATAATAATAATTATAATAATAATAATTATAATAATAATAATAATATTAACAATAATATCTCGTTCCTGTGCGATCATCAACGATCCGTTTCTACGAATCGTCGTTGCAACGTCCCCGACGCGTTTTGATCGGCCTTCTCCCCCCCGGCCCCCGTCCTGCGGACGGAAAAAGGAAGGAAAGGAAGGAGGGGAAAGAGAGAGGGAGAGAGAGCGAGCGAGCGAGCGAGCGAAAGGAGAAACTATCGGGAGATCGGCGAAGAAGATCGGCAGGCAGTGGGAGGAAGCGGAGCGTGGATAGATAAGAAGAAAGGAGGGCTCGGAAAGAGGAGTGTGGATGAGAGCGTCATGCCCGCTGAGATCGACACGGGCGGGCCAAGGGTGCTGCACTGTGATTACCGTGCCGACTGCCCGATACAGAAGATCGTAGCTTCCACTATCGAGCCTTCCTCTTCCTTCCGCCCCGAGGAGAAGAGGAAACGGAAAGAACTCGTTCCAGAGGGGAGCCCGATTACCGTGCCTCCTTCCAACACCCGCGAAAACCACGAGCCACGTGATCGTCGTAATCCTTGCTCCTCCTCCTCCTCCTCCTCCTCCCTTCCTCCCTCCTCCTTCGCCTCCTCTCGCCCGATCGCGTGCACGCGCCCCGCCGCGCTCCAATGCGATTCCCTTTCCCTTGGTCGTCGCCGCCGCCGCCGCCGCCGTCGTCGTCCTCCTCGTCGTCCAACGACGGGAATAATCCTCGACGACGACGACGACGACGACGACGACAGGGACGACCGTCATCCCCGCCCACCATCCGACCACCACCGATCCTCGTCGTCCGATAACGCGACGACGTCGTCCACGACGATTCGATGCATCGAGGTATCGGATCGCGCTCGTCATCATCACCACCGCCGCCGCCGCCGCTGTCGTCGTCGTCGTCGCCGACGTGGCCCACCTCGTCGTCGAGATGCGCTCGAGCACGACGAGTCGCGACTCGCCTCGATCCGTCGTCGAGATCCTTCGATAGCAGAGGAGAGAAGGAGGAGGAGGAGGAGGACGAGGCGGGACGAGGGAAAACGCGACGAGTGTCATCGTTCGTTGGATCGAAGCGAGACGAAGCGGAGACTCGAGGAGGAGGAGGAGGAGGAGGAGGAGGAGGAATCGAGGATCCCGCTCCGTTCGAGGAAACGGGAAAACGAGGCGACGGGAGGTCAGGGTGGTCGATACTGGCGTCCGGACGAAGAAGACGAAGAAGAGGAAGAGGAAGAAGAGGAAGAGGAGGAGGAGGAGGAAGAAGAAGAAGAAGAAGAGGAGGAAGAAGAAGAAGTGGAAGAGGAAGAGGAAGAAGGCGAAGAAGGAAGGTGGTGCTCGAAAGGACTCGAGGAGCCGGCGTGGAAGAGTAGTAGTAGTAGTGGTGGTTGTGGTAGTGGTGATGACGGTGGTGGTGATGGTGGTGGTGACGGTGATGGTGGTGCACGGTTCTCTAGTCACTGGAACGAGGCTTGGACGTACGAGGAGGAGGCGGCGGCGAGGAACGGCACCGCGTTTCTTCCGTCCTTGGCCGATGAAACGTGGAAGGAAGTGGAAGACGCGACGAATTCCTGGAGCGGTGAGTCGCGCGTCGCCAAGGTCGTGGCCGATCCCCGCCAGACCGACTTTCCTTCCACGTTGGAGCACGAGCACGACCACGGGTCCTTGACGACGACCTCGACCACGACGACGACGACGACGACGACGACGACGACGACGACGAGGAGGAGCGAGCGTAGAACGAGGAAGAAGAAGAAGAAGAAGAAGAGACGCGCGTGCAGCACCGCGGCCAGCAACCGTTCCACGTACATTCAGTTAGCGTTACTCCTGTTCCTCGTCGCGTTCGGCCAGTGCGCACTTCGTCGATCCGCCGGTGTGTTCAACAACAATAATTGCAGTGCGAGACCGAGTACGATCGGGTTTAGTGTGTTGGCGATTGGGACGGTTATCAGTGCAGTGAGTGCCGCGCCCCTCGATTTGACGGGCGACGCCGGGGTGAGGGCGGAACGATCGGCCAATTTGTCCCACATCACCGGCGCCTCGAGGAAAATCCAGATGTACATCAAGAATCGGCATCTCCAGATCCTGCCCGATGGAACGGTCAACGGTTCCAACGACGACACTTCGGATTACAGTGAGTATCGCATTCCTGTTGCTGTTACCACCACCTAATACCAAATATCGTCGTTTTATACTCTCTTTTTATATCTTTTAATCATCGTAAATCATCCATCATAGTCTCGACGGTCGGATAGATACGATCGTCTCTCTCTCTCGAAAAACGTTCAACAGGGGAATTCGCCTTTCCTTTCGTCTCGTTTTGCTTTTGCGCGGATCGTTTCGTGTATATATATATATATATACCGCGCCTCCAATCGTATTCGCCAAAGATGAATGTTTCCTGTTGGCTTTTCGCGCCGTTTCTCTTCTTCGTCCTCCCTTCGTCGATGGAAGGAAAATTGATACCGCGTTTGTGGCTATTGAGATGGCTCAATCGTAAACGCCAGTTGGTACGGTTCCAATCGCTCTCGATGGAGGCAAAATCCTCTCCATTCTTATTATATATATATATACATATAAATACTTTCGAGTCGATTTTTTAAATATAAAATATCGAGTCTCCATGGATCATCTCCCTCGTTTCCTCCCAATAAGATATAAGAGTAACAGATTATTCTCGATCGTTGTAAAATTCTAAAAGGAATCCAGTCTTAATAATTTCGCGTATTACGTATCTCATCTCTTCGAAATAGTTCTCCCTATCCATGCGACGTATTATTCGATGCTCGGACGCGGTCGTCTGCCTCGCCATAATCGATTCTCCGGCAAAACTGCTTCGAGAGGTATTCGATTTCGTACGAGGATCGGTGGTGACGTCGACTCTTCATTTCGAAATTCCACTCGGCCGACCTCGATCCATCGATCGATATTCCCGATTATCGCGATTATTATTCTAATAGGGATCGAATCGAGCGGCCGTTTCCATTCGCGCTCGAAGGTACGGAAGATAACCGTTGTTCCAAGCCCGCTTTCGATTTTTTCCGTTAATTGGGTTGCTTTTTAATCGGCGGCGATTTCGTGGAACGAGAGGGAAAAGAGAGGGAAAAAAGGGAAAAAAAAAGTGAGAGAGAGAGAGGAGGAAGATCGGAAAATAATAAATGCAAATGAAGAGAGCAGTCGATCTCGAAGAGGCCGAACTCGAATCGGCGAAATTAACGAGAGAATGCGATCAGGTCTGCGACTGGGCGAGAGAGAGCTGATCCAAGAATATGCGCTGCCTAGTACATGTACCTCTTCTTAAGTAGTCCACGTTTTAACCTTTGAAACTTCGATGGTCCGTCGTTAGTGGGGTCTAAATTCACGCCGGCCGATTGAAGTTTCTTTTTTGAAACGAGGATAAGCGTCCACGGTTCAAATAACCGTGGCTTCGAACGACACGAAACTCCGTTTTCGCGTCTGTTTTCGTCCTCTCGAATCCCGATTTAAAACGATCCGCAACACGCGCGATTCCGTTATGCGAGCCACGAATAATCCACCAGAGTCGGGTAAAATCGTTGGACGAGGAAGGGAAGATGATAAAGGAACATAACTCTACTGTTTCCGTACGATATAATTCTTGGCCTTATTTATCGATAATCATCCGCTTCGCTTCCTCAAACGAAACCAGCGAAAATACTCTTACGTAAGGCGCGGTTGAGTCGTGACTCGAAAAATCTTTCTTCGATCGATAATCTACAATTTTCCTCTTCTCTCCAAAACTCGTAAAAACTCGTAAAACAATCGCTTCGCAACGAGAAATATCCCGAGTTTCGTTTTTTCCTTTTTTTTTTTTTTTTTTTTTTTTTTTTTTTTTTTTTTTAAGAGGAGAAGATATATATATGTATATACGAGACCGTTGGAATTATTTTTGGATGATCGGGGAAAATTTTGCGAGTTTTTTCCTTACGGATGGAATAACATTGGGCCTGAATGATTTAATTACGATTTGTATATATCTTGCCAAAATACTTGCGGCTTGCCAATAGACACCGCGCACGCCTCTCCGCACGGTGACTAACTATTCTATTTTCGACTCTCTTCCGGTGTTGTTTTTAACAACCCTTTTATATTTTGATTTACTCGTAACCGTTTCGCGTAGCGCGAAATCGATTCGCCCATCTCCGTATATCGCTTTATCGCCTCCCTCTTCCTCACCACGTGGCAACGTGGCATATCGATTTTACGCGGATCGATAAAATATCAAGGGAGCAAGTGTGTTGTTGGGAAGATGGTTGGAAACGGTGGCGGGGTGCAACGCGTTATAAATTGCCGGCCACCAATTAACTCGCGCGTTTCTCACGAAAACGTGGCATAGTGTGCCCTGTTAATAAATATTTGCAGGTGAAAAAATAAATGGGCGACGGGGAGGAGTGGAAGCCGCGCTCATAAATATTCATGGATCGATCCGGATGATGACGGTCCTCTTCAACCGGCCGTTCCACGACCCGTTTTCGAAGCCGAATTTCGAACCTTCTCGCGAGAGATCTATCGCGAAACTATAGCGACACAGGGTATAAATATCGTCGCGTATTATAATAATTCGTTCGAGCTTCGATTTTTATTTCCGTCCTCGTTTTCTAAGTAATTTCGTGCTGGCGCGCCATTTTTCCATCTCTTTTCTTTTCGTTCCTTTTTTTCGTTTCGATCGAAACGCGATGGACGGAATAACGATCCGCTCCTCTTCTTTTTGTTTCGTGCGTCGAAGGTTGGACTTTCTCCGCGGCGAGGCGGAAAGTTCGGTTCGAGTGGTCTTTCAAGGCTTTAATTATATTCGATGGCTTTATGGTGTCTTTAACCCTTTTAAATCTGGTCATACGTATTCCACCGTTGTTCTTTCATTAGTTATCGACTAACTGACCAGATAAATGCATTATATATATATATATATTTTTTTTTTCTTTTTGGATAAGAATTCCCAACGACAATTATTTGTCACATGCGTTAATAATAATATTTTTCTTTTCCACTCAAATGGAATTCTTTTCGTTATTACGTTTTATTATTTCTCATTTTTAAATCCTATTTAAAAGTAAACGCTCTGTTTTTCCTCTTGCTCCGAAAAAAAAAAAAAAGAAAAGAAGAATCAATTCTAATGGAGATAAGGGAAGATAAACGTGGATATTTATGTAGTTACTTGGACTTTTCCTTGGACGTTCGTAGGCTCGATGTGTGTATCGTTCAATCGTAGAATTCTAGTAAGTTTAAAGGATAAGCACCGTATTGAACGCGTAATAATAGGTTGTAAATCTGACGAATAAATTAAACTCGGTACAGGGGAGGTAAACGAGGGAGAATTTAGAATTTTTACGATCGATAATCGATAATTGTCCGCCACACCTGTACCCCACATCCTTCCTTCCATCGCTCGAAAATAGCAACCATTTCCTACGATAGCCGCGAATCATTTAATCGGGTTCCAATTATGGATCGAGCGAAAAGTATGGAAAAATCGGAAAGATCATTGCGAGATATTACAATTCCGAGACAAACTTAATCCGCACGTTTCTAGAAGAGAATGAAATCGCTTTTCAGAGGTTCGAGAGATCGGTTCGACCGGTCATTCGGCGAGCCGCGACGAGATGTTAAAATGCCCCTCCCTCGATACCCCAAGATCGTTTCAGCGCGAATACTCGTGTATTTGGAAATGGAGCAAAAGGAAGGCGACGGGAAATGGCGAAAATCGTTAATCTTTTCGTTCGACACGCGTTTCTGATATCGCGAATCATTAACGAAGATTAATTACGAAAGAATTGGCCGCTGCTCGCCGAGCGAGGGTCTCTTCCCCCCTCCCCCCTCCCCCCTTCCCCCCATCCTAGATAAATCAATCGAAACGCGATAACGCGACTCGCCATTTGCCAACCGACGCGTCGATCTTGATTGAAATTTCAACGTGTTAATTAATTCGATTTCGTATTTTTCGCGTTACTGGCTAGCTAGAGCTAAACGCCGCGATATACATCGACTTCTCTTTTTCCCCGAACGATGACATCGTACGCCCGCCATATTTCGATATTTGATTTATAACCTTTTCCACGGAAACGCTTTCGCGCTTCACACGACCCAAAGGATAATATTTGGATCAAGGATTCATCTTCCTTTCCATTCGTGAAAATTTAAAATTTCTCCCCTCTACTTTTTTTCTTTTTTTCCTTCTTTAAACTCGCGAACGTTCGATCGAAACGAAGAAAGAAAGAAAGAAAGAAGGAAAGAAAGAAAGAAGGAAAAAACGATAAATCCGAAACACCCACGCGCCTCTCTCGATCCAAAACGAGAAAAAAGAAAAGAGAGACTTTCATCGATCGAAAAAAAGGGATATTGATTCTGTGTCGTCGATCGTTGCAGAAATTCTCGATCGTAAATCACGATATCGCGCGCGCGCGCGCGCACGCACGCACGCACACGCTCGAAAATCGATCGACTGGTTTCACGGAATAAATTATTTTCCGGAAGCAGACATCGGCCGGGGATCGGATTTTTCTGCTCCGTGATGTGTAACACGATCGTGTGTCGGGGAGCAGTAGTAGCGGCGGTCGAAGACGAAAGAGGGAAAAGGAGGAGGGCAGCGGTGGCTGGGCGATAAATCAGTCGGCGAGGGCCGGTGATAACGGAAGCTTGGAAAGGGGATTGAATGGCCCCGATACCCGTTGCCGCTATCAGCCGGAGAGGACGGGCCGCGATTAGGCGAAGACGGAACTGTCCGGAGGGATCGCGAGGTCGTGGCCTATATCGCTCCAGGGATGCTCCACCGATTTCCTCCATCCAGCTCGCTTACGCCTCTCCAGCTTCTTACGTCGTTCCTCCACCGTGTTTTTCGCTTTTTACAATCTCTCTCTCTTCCTTCAATGTGTCGTTTCTAAAAATCGGAAAAAATTATCGCCTTTTGCGAAGATTTCGATCATCGCTTCAAAGACAATAGATTAGTCGAAGAATAAGAGATTCACGATTTTTCTCTCGATATATATATATTCTACAATCTTTCTCTCTTCTTTCAACGTGTCGTTTCTAAGGGAATCGGACAAAATTATCATCTTTTGCGAAGATTTCGATCATCGCTTCAAAGACAATGTATAGATTAGTCGAAGAATAAGAGATTCA